CTACAGTTCTTAGTTTTATTTTAGTGCTACATTTCATTATGCAAGCCAAAGGATGCCATACCCTTTGAATATTGGTTTGCTTTAAATAGAACAAAGAAATATTAACACTGTTTTGAATGGCTAAGTTGGGAACCATGAGGTTGGTACCTAGTTTTTAAGGTTTAGCTGATGAGCAAAATTTGGAACATTTTATTGATAATGAGGGAATTGAGATTTTCCAAAAATGTGTTACACAAAACGTATTGAGAAGTGTTCTCCAACAGAATTTCAATGCTCCTCGACCTATGGAATCAAGTTACACATTGCTAGAACTAGAATAGCTTCAAAAGGGTTTTGTAATCCAACTATTCCGTAAAGCAAACCTGCTATATAAACAAAGTTTTAAAGGCTGTATTCATAAGTTGAAATGTATTGTCTCTGGGAATGTGCCTCTGTATTTAAAAAATGAATTTATTCTAAACTGTCCCTATGTTATCAGAATTGATACAACTGGGGATTGGCGGGGGGGGGGGGGGGGGGGGGGGGGAGGGGGGCGGTGGGGAGGGAGAAATTTCTAATTCTTAGCTTTTGGATTCCTAACTTTTGCTTGGTTTAATCTCACTTGCATTTTTCAAAACACAGAATATAGATAGAGTTTTCTCTTGTGGCTATTTCAATCTTTATTAATAGCGATGCAGCAATGTCAGTTTTACATGCGCTTTGACTGTTTTGCAAAAACAAACCAAGCAGGAGATAAACAAAGTTCTTTGGTTGGCATCTAATGTTACTAGTGCTTCACAGAGCAGTCTTAGAGATCTTAAGATATTATTAGGAGACACTCAATGACAAAGGTGGTAAAAAATGTCAGGTTTTTCCTTTTCATTGAGCAAACAGCCCTTCAGCTTCCAAACGAATAGAAATTCGAGAAATGAACTATATTCTAATTCACAGTCATAATCTTATTGTGACTTTCATTTAACAGCATTAAGATTAATTCTTCTTTACTCAATTAGCATGAATTATAGTAGTCTTATGAGCAAGATCCACCCCCAAGATCATACAGGACATGCAGACTATTCGGTCCAATAGTCCATAGTGTTGTTTATCTCTACATGAGCCTCCTCTTAAACTATTCATCTAAATCTACAAATCATTACCATCTAATTCCTTTTCCCTCAAAAGCTGGTCTAGCTTCCCCTCTAAAATGTGTATTTATACAACATCTGTTACGATTTCTGTTCTTACCATACTATGGATAAAAGATTTTTCCCCGATTTCTTGGGTGGTTGAAATATGATGATAGCCTCTGGTTAGACGATTTTCCCAAAAAGGAAACAATTTTTCTGTATCCACATTATCAGAACCTTAAATAATTTTAAGGACCTCGGAGATTATCATCCCTCAGCCTTGCTTTTTCGAAGAGACTTAGCTGTTAATCTATTCCTGATCATGTATGGCCACCCATTGCTTGTATTATTCATGCAAAATCATCTTCAGATTTTATCTAGTGTACCTCTCCATCATTATTATGTGTTAACCAGAACTGCACACAGTACTTAGTACAGTCTGACCAAGAATAAACTTGTTTTTCAATTCTATACAGAAATAAAGCATAGCATTTGGTTTACTTATTTTTACAAATGGCCTATCTATTTTACAGTGCAACTATTAGTTATGGATATATTTGTACTGAGGTCCCTTTGCTGTTCTACCCAGATTAACTTGCACCATCCAAGTAATCAGTAAAACCCAGAGTTTCACTGGCATTTCGTTTTTATTTCAGATTTCCAGTTTCCCAGTACTTTGCTTTTGTAGTAAGTGACATACCCATTCTTACCAAAATGCATTCTCAAATTTGTGTTGAACTTCATTTGTCATTATAATGTTCATTCTGCAGGCTTATTGAAGTCCTCCTTAGTACTGGATATCTCCTGCAATTTGGCATTATCTGCAAATTTTAAAAATTGCGTTTTTGATTCCAAAATGAATTGTGAACTGCACTGATCCTAGGACTGAGTCGTATGGAACACAACATCTCTGACCCACTGCTGCAGCTTTAACGTGTCAATATCATGTGGTTTCAAAATCAAGAAGCATCAACTTGTTTCATATCTCTGACCAATTTGCCACATGGGGCAAGGTTGGAAAACAGATTTAGAACACTACTTCAAGTTAAATTAAGGCACTTCAACTAAACTGCTTAGGCTAAAATAATTGAAAGTAGAACTTAGGACATAGCAAAAAGCTTTTTACAAAATATTTGTTATGGTCTTCTGGCTGGGGAAGTTTGTTTAGGAGAGGTGGTAAGGAATGATTAACTTGTATGTCCAAGAAAAAAAGTGTAAGCAATCTGAATAACTAATTTGATGTAATCTATATTAATTTGTACAACCAATGATCACTACTTTGGAACAAAAATAACCCAATATCATATTAGCACCTACAGAAAAACCCACAATCCTACTTATACTCAAGAGCAATAACGGAAGATAATAAATATAATACTGATCTGTAAACACAAAAAGTAGGAATGAAATGATTAGAAGCCCAAAACAGAACTGACTTGCCAGATACAACTGGGGTATGCTGTTTGTACTTTTTATGAATCATTTCTGGATATTGATGATTTAACAGTAATCTTGAGAATTGGGTAATTATCTTGAAAAAGAATACTTCCATTATGCCACCACATGAAAATTACACCGAGGTCAACAGTATACTTAGCTTCTCACTCTTCAGTGCCTAAAAATAGCAAATCTGTCCGTAAGAAAATTCATTATCTTAAAAAAGGTTCAGACCATTTTAAGATAACAAGGTGTAGAGCAGTTCCTACTATCTCAGACCATTTTAATGTGTTTAAGGAATTATAAGTGAACTAAAATTGTAAAAGGTGTTTAGAACAAGATCTGAATATATTTGGAGATTTAAATTACTTTGAAATATGAAACTCCGAAATATAGCTTCAAACCAAATTTTCTTTATTTCTACATAATGAAAGAGAGATATGTATAAAAATCTAGCTTTTATTCAGCAAGTGATGAGGCCTAAGCGAAATTACATGAATTTGAAGTAACTAGCTCTGGAGGGTCAACTACCCCATTTGTTAATCTTGTAAAATGCAAGATAACCAAAGCCAGTGTCTTTTGATGAAAAAAAGTGAAAGAGCAGTCTTTTCATCCTATAATAATTTTGCCAATTTTAATTCCACCTTGACAACTTTGAAACTACAAAACTAATTACTCTCACAAATCTTGTGCCATACATTTTTAAAAAGGATCCATGTACACCTTAAAATTTAAACAGATTTTATACAAACAATTAAAATGTTAAATAATTCTACATGTCAAAATAAAGAAAAACAATAAAAGGCACATGCAAGTTACTGCTTTAGCACGTTTGAACTTTTTGTTTTGATACCAGGTCAAACGTAATCCTCAAGTGCTAAAATGAAGCGAATTTTAAATGAATATGGCATTATAACTCTTTTATATCTGTAATACAATGTTCCTACTTATACTTCCAAAGCATTTTAACATTCAATAAGTTAGAACACATAAGCTGTAACAAAGTATTAAGAATACCCATCTATGGACAGTAAATTCATTGCAACAATGATTTATACAGTTGTCTGTACACTTCATGCAAATGGACACAGGATCCTTTGAAATTATTGCTTTCAATTTTCTTGGCTTCAATGACTTGTCAGAGTAATTTCTCATGAATGCGCTTACATATTCTTGCATTGTAGCTTTTTAATGCCAAAAAGGACTGCTAGCTAATTACTTGGGATTTAATGAAAATGTTGCACATGATATTGAATAATATTCTGACATAGAAATTATACTAAAGTGTAGTTTCAAAAGCTACTTCATTTAACATGAAATAAATTAAAAGTAATTGTATATCACAAGTTATTTCTCTGTTAAAGGTTAAACAGTTTCTGACAGAAACCTTCAGAATGGGGAAATAAAGGAAGAAAATCAAACTTGCAGAGTGAAGAGGGCAAGTAACATGCTGGGTGTTCCCAGACTAAAAACATTATGGAAAGAACAAACCAAAACTGTTGAGGGAAATAAAAAAAAGTGTGCTCATTTGAATTAATGCATGCTCAAGTTAATGTTATTGCATAAAATTAAGTGAATTTACATCAAACTTTATTTACACAACTGGGGGTCGGAGTGGAAAGAAAACTGAAATGATGCACAAATATAAAAGCAATTCCATGACGTTTTTTTAAACCAAAACTGTTTCTTAGATTCTATACGAGATGCAAAGGAATAAAGGACAGAAAAAAAAAGGTGGTGTGATTAAAGGAGGACAAAATACAAATAAGTGTAGCGGATGTTGGAATGAAAATTTAAAATGGAAAATGCTGGAAACATTCAGCAAGTCAAGCAGCATCTGTGGAGACAGAAAGATATTTAACATTTCAGATCAACAATCTTACATCGGAATGGAGAAAAGTTCATTGACCGGAAACATTAATTCAGTCTGTCTTCAAAGAATAAATCTAGCTTCAGCGTGAACATTACAATTTTCTTTTGCTCTTTCACTGTGGCTGTAACTTTGGAGATAAGAAAGAGTAGTTACATAATCTTTGATCTAAAGAGAACAGTTAGATAGGATATTACAACTGAAGTAATGAATAATCCGAAATGTATTATGAAATATAGGATTACTGCTGATTCTCAGCAATTTCAGAGTTCAGGTAAGCACTCTTTAGACAGTCACTTGCAGGAAGTGTAAGACAACCAATTATCTACCCCACTTCCATTTAAGTTGGTTATCTTGATAAACTAAAAAACAAACTATAAAAATATAATTTATTTTCATAAGGGAGTTCAGTTTTCAGTTCATTTTTGTGAAATGTTGCAAATTGAATTTCTATCATACAATATCACTTATTCTGCTGTGCAGAAAAAGTACAACATGCACCACTTCATGTTAAACTCAAGTTATTTAAAATCAGCTTTCCCAGTACACACTGCAAATACTATCACAAAGCCACAGTACATACCTTCAGATTTAAAAACATCTTTTCACGATCTGTTATTTTTATTAAGTTTTGTTTTACACCAGGAGGTGATTATAGATACAGGGTGAGTATAGGTTATTTAATAAGAAAAAAAGTCCTGTGACTCCACTCAAAGCCCATTGAAGTATTCAAGCTTAATATACTCGAGTCAAAAAGACTGAAGACAGAGGAGGAATGTTTACAGGCATAATTAAGCACAACTCATGTTCAGAAAGGCCAAAAAATCTCACAGCAAGGACAGATCTCATATGCATTCAACTCTGCCTTGTGCTTCACTTCTGGTCTTTTTCTCATAATGCAAAGCTCAGACTTGATTAAGTAAATTGAAGAGATAGCCTTATGTGACCAGCACTGTCCATCCAGTCTCCTTCTGGTGGGCTTCTCATGTTTAGAGAATCTAGGCCATGGAAAGTAATGTCTTGACTGAAGGCAAAAGTGCATCACAAGCACAAACGAACAGGTCAAATCTTCCCTTGTAGCTGTTTTAGATATACTAAATTTTGGAGAACAAGATCATTATCTTCAAAGAAAAAAGTTACTAGGTTTACTGTGCAAGAACAAGTCTTGTCCTAAACCAGGCTAATTTTAATTTACTTTGTCCTGGAATATATACAAATTGTTAGTTGCAGCAACAGCTATGATGTTCTCTTTAGGATGCCAAGCTGTATGCAGAATCTTCTTGTTGAAGTCCAGACTATCAACACTAATTTCATCTTTCCTCCTTTTACCACCTGTGCAAACCTTGCGTGGTTTCAAGATGGCACGTGGCTTACTGCTTTCTCTGGATGCTTCAAGTGTGATGTCCCGTTTGGTATTTCTATCAAACATCCGGAAGAAATTGTTGTATGAACCGGTCATGATGGCACTGTTTACAAATAAAAATGTAAATACAAGTTCAACACAAATATTCAAAATATAGCATTCAGAAAGAGTACGAGATTCAGAACTCCTTACTGACACAAGGACAAGTATTATGACAATTATTGATGTCATTATGGAAGGATATGGCAGTAAAATGATGTAGAGATGTTAATAATGGCAAGTCATGCAGTAAACATGATTAGTGAACAAAGCCAAAATTTTTACTAGAATTGCAATTAGTGGTGGGTATGGATACCATTACACAGCACAAGAAGAATTTGCCCCATTTTTTCCTTATGCCTTTTTCTTTCTTATCTACAGACTGGAAGTTAGTCTCACACTAATGGAGAATTCAGCCTTCTGATTTTGCTCAGAGCACAAAACCTTTCTATAAATGAATTACACAGCAGTCTGACTTTCAGCGTTACGGCTAAATTCAATTTGTATAATATGAAACGAAGAGTAGTAATGTAAAACCATCAGGACAACAGAATTCATGCAATATTGATATTTCAAACACTTCAAACACTAGTACTAAAATAATTGTGTTTCAGATTAAGATAACAATATTTAGTAACAGAATTATGAGATAGAGAACAGTTACCAGAAGAAATTGTTACAATAGACCAAGACTAATTGGGCTGTCATGCTGAGGTGTGAAAATCACAGGGATTAGCTGAAAAGGATGTTGTTGAAACTTCTAAAGTTAACCTTCAACAATTTTCTAAAATTGCACAATAGGAATGGTATGTCACTGTATTATTTTGCGGTTTAGAGAAACATAACAATGAAACTCTATTTTTCAATGTAAGACAACTGAGTCAATGAAAGAAACATTAAAGGCATTATCCAAAAGGGGAAGCTGTCTGCACTTCAGAATGGCAGCATCTGTTCAAAATGACAGTACAAGGGAATGGCCCTGGGTAATTTTGTCTCCATGAATGACAGCAAATGTAACTATGAACTTTAGCAAATTAGACATAAAGAACACATTTGTTTGGAAAGGAATTTACAAGCTGCAACACTGCTTAGATCTTAAAAATCCTAACACTGCATCAGATTCTCATAACATGCTCCAAATCAGATTTTATTCTATACACAGGTGAAAGACAAAAGTTTCAAACTGGCTATCAATTTGGAACAAAATCAGTTTTACGACCAACACAAATATTTACAATCAATCATATAGTACCTTTTCACATATCTCACATTTCCCAAATTTTCAAAGTAATGAGGTGAATGTCTGCCAGGTTGGGCAAGGAAGAATAATGGCGAAGTCACGAGGGAACTCATTATTCTTTCTTTAAGAGACAGAACACTCCCCGAATGGTTGCACACAGCTGAAGTTTAACAATTCATCCAAAGAGCAGGATTTTTAGACAGCATGAGATCCCATTAATATTGCCAACCTAACTTAAATGCTTATGTCCTGGAACAGAACTTGTATCCAGGCAAGATTTCTAAATAGTTGTCAGTGTACAGCAACATATCAATACATAACAGCTTACCTGTCTGAACCATTCCAACAGCACTCAAACTTGTCAAAAATGCAGTCATTCTCATACAGGGAACAGAGTTTGCTCCGTAAGTATTCATGCACCTGGAAAGTGGGCATCAAAAATAAAGAACAGCCAAAGAATCAGAACTCTAAACAATAAATTATTTGAATATTGATGTTAAAAGGGCATGATGCCAAAGCTTTTTGTTCAAATGCCAAATTTCAAATGTTCACAACTATTTATACTACAGATGAAAAAGGGTGCTGTGTTTGGCGAGTTGACTCTGATTAGCCAAAGTGTTGTCACTGTTCCCAGTTAATGCTACTGCCTCAACAAGTCAGACCCCAGAATTAAATCTGGCCCGAGAGATAATTTTTATCGTTATTTTGGTTAACATGGTAGCCACTCACTAAAACGTAGTCAGACAAGGCTACAGAGTTTCTTTTACGTAAGTTCACTATACACAAATCAAAAATACCCAAAAAACTAGATGTAGCACAGAAAAATCTTAAAAATATCCAGCAAAAAAAAAATTAAGCTATTCCCCAACACCATTTCACAGCAATTCAAATTTAGATAAACTACATCTTGATATTAATCCTTTAAATTCTCCAGCTTACGTCCTGTGGAGTCTTCTCATGTTAGATTTCCTCAGCCTCTAATAACCTGCAGATTTTAAACCAAACACTCCATCAGGATATTACACAAACCAAGTTTTTCACCTCAGACAACTTATTCCCTTAGCTGCTCCAAAATAAAAACTCGTTTCTAGGAGAAATTGTTTACTTGCTTTTAACGCCAATTGGATCTCTTCTGAACTGCCCTAAAGCTTTGAGTCACTAATGTTCCTCAAACCAAAATCTGAAAACTAGCAAATGGCGTTCAGCAATAACTAGGGATGTTAGAAGTCCAAATGAAACAGAAAATCCCGGAGAAATGTAGTAGGCCTGGCAACACTTGTTGAGAGAGAGTTCACATTTAGCATCCGATGACAACTCACGTAGAAGTGTCATATCAGGCTTGAAATGTTAACTCAGTTTCTTCCTCCACATTTGCTGCCAGTTTCTTCAGCGTTTTTTGTGTTTACCTTCATTGGTAAACGCACTTGTAGTAAAACGACCCCTCCAGTATAAACCATTTTCCATTAACCTTGCAGTTCTCTAACACAGTGGTGAATTAGGTCACTGCTCTGAAAGGATTGCCTAACCTAGTGATTGAATTATGAAACATCCTTCACGAAAGTAACCAACCCCCATATGTTATCATTTTGAAATCCAAAACTCAGAAGTTTTATTAATAGATATACAAGTCATACACCTCACGCTCTGGAAAAAGCAACGAAGAACTAAAGATTCGCCTGTTGCCAGGCAATTCAAAATAAACGCACGGTATAAGCATTTTCCTTTGTTTGCAAGGCACGTATACATGTGAATGTATGTCACTTCTAGCAAAGATAAATGTTCTAAGCTTGGTTCCAGGAAGCAGGATATTCAAGATAAGCATAACTTAGAAACTAGGAGTAAGAGTAGGCAATTCAGTACTTTGAGCTTGCTCTGCCATTCAATGGATCATAGCCATATTCCTGTTTCTTTCCATACCCTTGATGCTTTAAATATCTAAGCATTAACCGATCACTCTGTTGAATATATTCAGTGACTGGCCTCTACAGCTTTCATAGTCGAGAAATCCACAGGTTCACAACTCAAGTGGGAAAAAAAGACTTCCCTCACCTCAGCCTATCCTGTGTTATTCTGTTGACTGTGTTGGCTGGTTCTAGACTTCACAACCTCTATGGCAAGTATGTCTTCTCTTAGGTAGGGAGACCAAAATTGCATGCAATACTCCAAGTGTAGTCTCGCCAAGGTGCTGTACAACTGCAGGGACACATCCCTACTTTTTAACTCAATTCCTTTTGCAAAGACGGCCAATATACCATTTTCCTGGCTAACTGTTTGCTGCACTTGCCTGTCTACTTTCATTGACTGGTGTACAAAGCCACCCAAATTGCTCTGCACATTCACATTTTCCAATATATGATCATTTAAATAATACTTTGTTTTTCACACAGAAGTTATAATTTTGCATTTAAACATGTTATATTGCATCTCCCATGCTTTTGCCCACAACTTGTCTAAATCACCTTGCAACCTCATCACAACTCTAAATCCCACCCAGTTTTGTGTCATCAGCAAAACTGGAAATGTTACTTTCTTTTTATCTGTCAACCAAATCTCAATATATCCGCCTCCGCACCAATTTCTTTAGAACGCTTCTGCCGCCTCAGCGCCTATTTCTTTAACCGCGAGTCTAACCCACCATCCACAGACCCCTTCTTCCCGCCTCCGACACACCCCTTCCTCCTGGACACTACCCCAAGGCCTCCTACCCTCCCTCGACCTCTTCATCTCCAACTGCCGTCGTGACATTGATTGCCTCAACCTCTCCGCCCCTCTCTCTCACTCCAACCTCTCCCCTGCAGAACGTGCAGCCCTCTGATCCCATCTTATCTGGAGGTTCGATAGTGAGGTTAAGGGAGGCACAGTAGTGGTATGGCACACTGACATTTACATAGCCAAGGCCAGGCGCCAACTTTCCGACACCACCTTCTACCACCCCCTCGATCATGACCTCACCCCTGACCATCAAACCATCTCTCAGACCATTCATAACTTTTTCACCTCAGGTGACCTCCCACCCACAGCCTCCAACCTCACTGTTCCCCAACCGCGCACGACCCATTTCTATCTCCTTCCCAAAATCCACAAACACGACTGCCCCGGCCGACCCACCGTCTCTGCCTGCTCCTGCCCCACTGAACTCTTCTCCGCTTTACTTGACTCTTATTTTCTCCTCCCACTGGTCCAGGAACTCCCACTTACATCTGGGACACCACCCATGCCGTCCACCTCCTCCAAGACTTCCAATTCCCTGGCCCGCAACACCTCATCTTCACTATGGACATCCAATCCCTGTACACTGATCCCCCTCACGGACAGCCTAAAAGGCCTCTGCTTCTCCCTCTCCCTCAGGGCCAACCAGACCCCTCCAACAACACCCTCATCTGCTTAACTGAACTTGTCCTTACCCTTAACAACTTCTCCTTCAACATCTCCCACTTCCTACAGACCAAGGGGGTGATCATGGGAACCCGTATGGGCCTAAGCTACGCCTGCCTCTTCGTAGGATACGTGGAACAGTCCCTCTCCCATTACTACACTGGCACTATTCCCCATCTCTCTTATTCCGATGCATCGATGACTGTATCGGCGCTGCCTCGTGCTCCCACGAGGAGCTCGAACAGTTCATCCACTTCACCAACACCTTCCACCCCAACCTTAAGTTCACCTGGACCATCTCCAATACTTCTCTCTCCTTCCTGGACCTCTGTCTCCATCTCTGGTGACCACCTCAAAACCAACATCTATTTCAAGCCCACCGACTCCCACAGCTACCTAGACTACACCTCTCACCCACCTTGCTGCAAGAATGCGATCTCCTACTCCCAATTCCTCCGCCTCCACCATGTCTGCTCCCAAGATGAGGCATTCCACTCCCACATATCCCAGATGTCCTCCTATTTGAAGGACTGCAACTTTCCCTTTCGGTGGTCAAAAATGCTCTCAACTGCAACTCTTGCATTTCCTGAACCTCTGCCCTCATATTCCCTCCCCCCAACAAAAACAAAGACAGAATCACCCTTGTCTTCATATCACCCCACCAACCTCCGTATCCAACGTATCATTCTCCGCCACCTACAGTCCGACCCCACAACAAAGATATATTACCCTCCCTACCCCATCTGCCTTTCATAGGGAACTCTCTCCGTGATTCCCTCATCCGCGCCACACTCCCCACTAGCCCGACCACCCCCAGCACCTTTCCCTGCAATTTCACGAAGTGCTACACCTGCCCCTACACCTCCCCACCTCATCTCCATTCAAGGCATCAAACAAACCTTCCACATTAGGCAGAGGTTCACCTGCACATCCATCAACATGGTCTATTGCATCCGCTGCTCTCGATTTGGCTTCCTCTACATCGGTGAGACCAAGCGGAGGATCGGAGACCGTTTTGTAGAGCACCTGTGCTCTGTTTGCAACAAACACCATCACTTTCTGGTTGCAAACCATTTCAACTCCCCCTCCCACTCCCTGGGTAACATGTCCATCCTGGGCCTCCTCCAGTGTCACAATGGCGCCACCCGCAAACTGGAGGAGCCACATCTTATATTCCACTTTGGGAGCCTAAAGCTCAATGGCCTAAATGTGGATTTTACTGGTTTCAAAATTTCCCCACCCCCACCTCATCCCATGGCCAACCCACCCTCTCATCCCTGCCTCCCTGACCTGACACAACCTGTCCACCCCTCAACCCTCGCACCTCACTGACCAATTCCCACCACTCCCTACCTGCACTCAGCTATCATCATCTGACCTACCTTCCCCAGCGCCACCCCTCCTCTCTCTATTTATTTGAGCTCCCTTCCCCCTCCCCATTTCTGAAGGGTCTCGACCCGAAATGTCAACTTTCCAGCTCCTCTGATGTTGCCTGGCCTGCTGTGTTCCTCCTGCTCCACATGGTGTTATCTCCGACTTCAGCATCTGCAGTTCTTGCTATCTCTCGATATATACCAAATGTATCACCCCATCTCAAATGCTTTAATTTTGCCCACTAACCTCTTACAGGGACCTCATCAAAAGTCTTCTGAAAACTCAGACCACATCTGTCGGTTTTTTTTCTTATCTATTCTACTAGTAAAATCCACAAAAAGCTCCAGAGATTTGTCAAGTATGACTTGTCTTTCATATACCCTTGCTGGCTTTGTCCAATTCCATTAATGCTTTCCAAGTGTTCTGTTATCATGCCTTTTATAACAGACTACAGAATTTTCCTCACTACTGATGGTCTGTAATTCATTTTGTCCCTTTTTTTTTTTAAAAACTAGTGGAGTTACATTTACCATGCTCCAATCTGTAGGAATTGTGCCAGAGTCCACAGATGACAACTAATGCACCCAATATTTCCAGGATCTTTTAGTGTCTGGGTTGTAGATAATCATGACCAGGCGATTTGCCTGCTTTTAAATCCATTAATTTCCCTAGCACCTTTTTTGTTTTAAAAGTAGTGATTTCCTTTGATTTCTCCCTCTCACCAGACCCTTGGTTCCCGAACATTTTTGGGATGATAGTCTGCCCTCTTTTGTGGGGGCAGAATGAAAAGTGTGTTCAATTATTCCGCCATTTCTTTGTTTCCCCATTATAATTACTGCAGTTTCTAACTGTAAAGGACATTTGGCTTCAGAAATATTTTCTCTTCAAAGATTCGTAAGAACTGACTGTAAAAGCTTCTGTTCCTTACAATTTTACTCTCAATCTATTTTCCTCTTTGTTGATCAAATGATTTGTCCTTTTTGCTGAATTCAAAAATGCTCCTTCACCTGATGGAGCAGCACGCCAAAAGTTTGGCGATTTCAAATAAACCTGTTGGACTAGAACCTGGTGTCATGTGACTTCTGACTTCATCCACCCCAATCCAACACCAATACCTCTGCATCATTTTTTTATTTTTGCACCAGACAGGTATGAATAAGTATTCTAATTCCTCTAATTCATGCACACATTCTTTAAATATTAGTCATTGTCTATCATTGTTAACCTTTTAGTAAGATCCCCCAACCATCCCTTGCTAATTCACATCTCATACCTTTGTAGTTCCCTTTATTACATTCAGAACCTTAATTTCAGATTGGCCTAGTTCACTTTCCATTTTAAAGAATAACACTGTCATTTCATGGTTGCTCTTATCCAAAGACCCTGCACAATAAGACTGTTAATTAATCCTCTCATATTGCACAGTACCCAGTCGTGAATAGGCTATTCTCTGTTTTTTAGACCAGTAAATTGAGGAACAAATCATATTCACATTTCAGAAAATGTTCCTCCACAACACCAGTGCTAGCTGGTTTGTGTAATCTGTATTAAAATCACCCAAGATTATAGTTGTATCTTTATTGAATGCATCCGGGATTTCCTTAATGCCTTTCTTTACATCTCCGCTATTCGTTCGGGGGCTTATAGAGAATGATCAACATTTTCTGCCACTTGGTGTTTATCAGCTCCAGCCATACAGCTTTCACATCAAGATTTTCCAAGCCATTATTTCTTCCACGCTATTGCATTTTCTTCCTCCTTCACTGAATGCTACCCATCTCCTTTCTCTTTTTGTCTGTCCTTCCTAAATAATGAATACACAAGATGTTCAGTTCCCATCCTTGGTCATCCTTTAACTATATCATGAGTAATCTGTGATTTATGACAAAGACAAAGTTTCGAAAGGCTGTCAGTGAGACAGTACCAATCATCCACTTCATTAACTT